TTCCGCTCCCTTTTCGCAAGCCTTGAGCCGGGGCGCGGGAGTCGGGCAGGTTATTTCTAAGCTTCACTGGGAAATACAGATGCCTCTCAAGCCCAGCAGGTTGTACTTGTCTGTTGGGTTTTTTTCTCCCCTCCTGCACAGCAAGGAGCGAAGGGAGGGGGTCGAGGCTCACCCCCCGCCCCGTGGCAAAGGCGTCGCACCCACGCAGGCTGAAGTCCAGGGTCTGTCCCCCACCTGTTTTCCTGCAAAACCTCCCTTCCTCGCCGGGCAGAGCTGCCCCGGGCGCTCGCACGCTTCTGCCGTGCCCATTGCTTGTGCAGCCGAGCACGGCAAGCTGCGTGGGGACCTGGGGGGGGGTCTTGCAGTGACATCCCCCCGTTACATGAGGGGATGCAGGGGTGGGTCACAGCTGTACGGGTTAGGGAAACACCAGCTTTCTGCGTTCAGCTGCTCGCAAGGGAAAAGAGCCCGGGAAGCAGTTTAGAGGAGACGTTCCCCGTCCTCTCCATCAGCTGGGGTCACAGCTTCGGGCTCGTACACACACCAAGCCCTCCAGCACCCAGGGGACTCTGAGCACGTGCTGTCACCCAGACCTCAGCCGAGCTGGAGGGAGACAAGCACACGAGACTGCTTCACACACAGCGCGTCTGGACACCGGGCTGCTCGAGTGCCGAGCTACAGCGGGGAGATAAAGCAACGGAGGAATGGGAACCGGGGGCTGCGTGAAGCCCCGTGTCCCACCTTCACAGGGGACTGATTGTCCCCAGCACCCACTGCTGAATGCGTACTGGTCTGCTGCACGTCCAAGCTGAGCGAGCACTCGCTGCCGCCCCAACAGCCACGGCAGGAGGGCTGGAGACTGCCCTGCCAGGTATCCCCAGGTCACCCGTACGAGCCAAGAGGAAAGACGTGAGGAATAATTTTTTATTCTGTCATCGCTGTCATCTAGTCCGCAGAGACCTGCTCGGGTTTGTCCAGCTCCCACCCAGACCAGGAGAGCGGCAGAGCCCGCACTCCTCCAAGAACTAAGCTACGGTACGAGCCGGTCCCGGTGCGGGTCGGTTTTGTCGGGGACGGTTGTAGCCCTGTACTCGTACGAACGACAAAAGCTCCGCTCAGACTGCGGCTGCTGACCTTCAACCCGCAACATTGCACTTGGAAGCAAAAGCACCTGACCCAGAACTTGCAGATAGCAGGGGGACAGGGGGACAAGTGTCCCCTGCAGGGCCACCACAGCTGTGCCCCTTGCCCTCTGCACGCGTTTTTGCTGGGTTCTAGTATTATTACACAGAAAAATCCCTCCACATTCACACAGACAGCCCCAAAACAAGGGGAGTAGCAATCCTTCCGCCCCACGGCTCGCAACTCGGCAAGGCGGCGTCGCTGTGGTGCATCTGACCCAGGCCGAACCCCGACGCTGGGCAGAGGGCTCTCGCCTCAGTCCCTCCACCTTCCACGCTGCCTTAAAAGGTCCGGTAAGTGAGGAATTCCTTCAGCTTCCTGGGAATGGGGAGCGCGAGGACCTGGTACGTCGTCAGGAAGGTGCGCAGAGCTTTGCGACACAAGTGCTTCAGTGAGGAGAGGACCCTTGGAGCGGTCCAGAATTGGACGTGGCCATCTCTGGTCCTGCAACGGAACCCAAACAAGCCATGAGCACGGGGCAGAAAGACTCGAGAAATCTCAATTACCCCCAAAAATCCCGAGCTTGCAGCAACCACGTGTTCCCCAGCCCAGGAAACCACCCTGCACCCCCAGGGAAGCCCAGAATTTGCTGAGCAGACCCGGAGCTACAGGAGGAGGGAGCAGCCGTGTTTCTCCACCCTCTTCTCCCACGTACGCACCCTGTGGCAATGAAACCGCCGTGTGGGAAGTACATGCAGCACAGGCCGTTGGTCATGGGAGCAAACGCAACCGGAGACCGCAGCTCCAACGCCCAGATCCTCAGGAGCCTAAGGAGAAAGGGAGGGGACACAATGCCAGGCCCACATCCACGCAGTGCCTGCAGCTAAAATAAAGTCTCTGGGTTCACCTGAATGCATGCAAACTCTGGAGTAGGATTTTCTTCCCATGGGCTTAGAGCATCCCAGGAGTGTCACAACATGGCAGCAAGGCGGGAGGCACTGTCCCCTGTAGAGCTGAGCTGGATGCAGACAGAGCCAGTGACGGTGCTGAGGGGCACAGCGAGGGCGGCACAGGACGGAGGAGGACACAGGCCCCGGCTCATCGCCCAGAGGGGTGACAGGGCCCTGACCTTGCTACCCCTTGCCACAGCCAAGCCGCGGTGTCCCAGGCAGCCTGCCCTTTCCCCTTACGCCAGGCACTGGGGGGGACCTGGCACACGAGATCTGCTCCCCACTGGCACGTCCTGAGCTCCTGGTTCGTTTTGGCGGTGTCCTCCTGGGACCCTCTTCCCGATGGAGGTCCCCAAGGTGGTTCACTCACCTGTCGTCCGCCACCGTGGCCAGGTACAGGCCCTCAGGGGAGAAGCACACTGAGCGCAGGGAGCTGGTGTGGACTTCACTGCTGTAGTCCAGCACTGAGTGCAGGGGGACGTGGCTGCGGGTGGGGAGAACAAACCCAGCGTCAGCCCCAGGCTGCCACGAGCCCCATCCCCCCAGTGTCCCAGGGCTGGCAGAGGGGCCAAACCTGGGAAGCCTTTCAGTCACTGGAGACAGGGGAGAGGGGATGGCCGTGCACAGCTAGGAGGGAAGACCACGTTCAGCCCTCAAACTCCCACAGCTTTGCTCTGTCCCCCTTCCATGGTCCCCTACCAACCCTCCAGCTCCGTACCGCAGCGTCCTCAGCTGCTCCCCAGTGTAGGGGTCCCACATGATGACGCAGGCGTCGTAGGAGGCGGTGACGAGAAGCGCCGAATCCGGCGAGAAGTCGCACGACACCACGCTGCTCTGGTGCCCCTCCAGCCTCCGGATGAGGGTGTAGGATCGCATGCTCCACAGCAGCGCCTGCGGGACACGGGCAGGGGCTGAGGCTGGGAGTATCCCCAGGGCAGGAGCAGAAGAGAAGCATCTCAGGGTTTAAGCCGCAAGGGCTCTGGTCCCAGCTCCCAGCTCCTCCGTGCAGAGCCTGGACGGCCGAGGAGCGAGGGTGGCTCTGGCCTGGCTCCTTCTCACAGGGGGGCTTCTCACATGGGGGGCACACGGAGGACCGAGGGGAGCGCTGGATTCAGCGGGACATGGGATGGCGCCCACCCTGCAGGACTCACCGACTTCTCTCCGGCCGCAGAGCAGAGCATGCTGCAGTCTGGGGAGATGGAGCAGCAGTAGACCCACTGCACGTGGCCCGACAGCACCTGGACCTGCCGCCCTGGGGACGGCAGACACGCGAGTCACGAGAGGGGAGCACGAGAGGCAGCGCTGGGTCCTGCCCCTGCTCTCCCTTCCCTTTCCCAAGAGGGACTGCACGTGGGGCTGGGGGATTCCTCGGGGCAGATCCCAAGCTTTGTCTACTTGTAACCCCCTCCTGCACCTCCCAGGCCCCACCTGGAAGGGGACGGCTCTGCTCCGTGTCGCAGGACTCTCCCCTTCTGCCTTGAATAGTGTCCCCAAAGATCCTCTCCCACCACCTCCCCTACCGAGGCGGGTTTGTCCCCGCTTTCCCGCAGCAGAGCCCAGCCTCAGCCAGGGATGACCTAGCACCAAGGACACCCCTGCACACTCCTACCATCTCTGCTCAGGTCCCAGACGCGCAAGGTCTTG